AAACACACACTCACCCTGGACAGGACACCAGTCCATCACAGGGCACACAAACACACACTCACCCTGGACAGGACACCAGTCCATCACAGGGCACAACACACACACAGTAGCACCAGGGCCAGTCTTCCCAGAAGTCAATGAACCTGCCGGTACGCCTTTGGACTGTGGGAGGAATCTGGAGCTCCCGGAGGAAACCCACACCGGCACATGGAGAACAGAAACCGCAAGGCAGCAACGCCAACCACTGCCCCACCATGCTGCCCTTCTTTCATTCCTTAACGGCAAAAACTCACTTTATAACGTGCTCCACTTACTCTGCATCCCAACAAGAACCCTTCTATTGAGGCTTCTGAGGGGTCACTGTAACCAGAATCGCTTCAGAATAACGGCCTGTACTGCTCTCTTCAGTTGGGCTTGGGATTTTTGTACCAGGGCATTCTTGTTTTTAAATACTCATAATGCTTAAAGTAGCCATTTAAAAACAAAAACAAAACACTTCACAAAATAAAGCTAGAGACGGTTCATTTATTATCATCCGTGTTCCAAATAATTAAAAAATGCTCTGCTGTATTTTTTTTCCCCATCTCAAACTTGAAAACATCTGGTGTTCGTGGGCTGTAGCAAACACTTGGCAAGACCAAGATGCATCTTCCCCGAACACCTGAGGCCAAGCCAAGACAGCTGCACTGGGAACCGGGCAGTCAAAACAGGAGGCAGGGATGCGTTTTGTACTTGAGAATTTTATTTAAAATAAAGTTTAAAAAGCCAACAGGTACAGGTCACCATATAAATACAGAGCACACAATGAGAGGGCAGGCATCGGTGTTTGGGTGGGAAGATGAGTGCTTAACCTAACAAGGTAAACAGGCCAGATGGCCTCTTCTCATCTGAAGCCTCCTACTCCGTCACAACCCCCGTGCCTGTGGCCACAGAGACACGCTCTCCACGGTTCTGCTGACGTTTGAGCGCAGTCACTTCTAAACCATGAAATTATTCTGCGGAGCGACACAGACTGGTGTCAGGTTAGTAAGCTTAAGGACATTCAGAAACTTTGCCACTGTCGCTCCTGGAGGCTAAAGTATTGCCTGTGTTGTGTTAGTCAGTCCGACTCAACCTGCTCAATCACTGCTGTACATTAGTCTGCAATACAGAGAGGGGTATGTAGCCAATGTGCAATAGAAAACCATCTTCAGTCTTTCATTTTTTTGCTCAATACCCAAACACTTCTGCCCCATAAGCACTGACTCATAAGGTACAATTATGTGCATTTTCTCAAGGAAACCCAAAGTGCAAAACCAGACTGTGCTGCTTTCTTCAGTTCTCCTGTAGAAGACAGCAAACATCACACCACATATAACACAGCTCAAAAGTTTTCCAATTTATGCTCAAGAGGAGTATACAGGCATATCTCGCCGTCATTAAACCATTAAAACTAAATTTAATAAAAATGGGAACAACAGGATTAAAAACAAATATATACAAGAAGGATAAAATTAAAGCTCCACAAAGACAGTCTGAATGCTGTACTGGTAGTGTTCGGAGAACGGAGGGACATTTGGCCTGTGGGCAGATGTTTAGGAAGTGCAGGGGTGACTGTCAGGCCAACAGTCACACCTTCCTCTCATCCACTCTTTGTAACCAGACTGGCCAGTCCTGGAGCTGAGAAGCCACAGGACCCGTTCTTTTTATTGAATCTGAGCCAATAAGGTGGCAATCTGTTTAATAATTTGGTTCAACATTCACAAACTAAAACGACAGTACCATTTGCTCCAGGATATGATATGGGGAGTTAAATAAAAGCCCTTCAAAATTCATTCCAGGATTTATGTACAACCAGCTTACTGTTTGGAGCCCCCCACACACAAAAATAAGTTACATAAGTAAACAGCAGGTTGTGAAGAAGACTTGGTTCCTAATCCACTTGAGCACATCTGCCTACTCCTGATCTAGACGTTCCTGTGAATCCTGCAGGAGTGGGTCTCTCCAGGATTTCCACACACTGTATAGATGGTGTGCTCTGGAGAGACAGACTCTCATCGCACACCTGGCCATGACAAGAGACCTCATACACACAGGCACGTAGCACAACATAACACAACATACAAAACCCTCTTACAAACACACCAGGGGCTACAGCATGGCCTCACGCTTGTGCCTTTGGTTGACTTCTATATAAGAGTGCATTTTCTACACAATCCAAGGCAGAATAAAGAGATCTATAATAAAGTTAAAGTACAAGGCATACAGATCTGCATATACCAATACCAACATCTGCATGATCTCTCTGATCTGCACACACCTTCGCCGGCTTGGCAGTGCAAGCAGAGCTCTCGTTTAGAATTACATGCAAGCAGCTCCAGCTCCTACATTAACACCAATCTCTCAATTTATGCAGATGGTAGCAGTGTGCTAACTTGCTTCTTATTAAAAAATTCACACCTTACATGTCTGCATGGTAGTGCATTACCATAAATCTGTGTTATTACCAACGTTCAGACGAAGGAAAGAATCCTGCCTCTTATGTACACGTCCCTTGAAAAGGTTATTATGCACATGAAGTTCTAAGAAAAATTATATTAATTCCCCAAAGTCATGGCAGGGATTTTAATTTCTTCATAATTTAATGTAGCTTAATTAGATGTACCTATATTAAAAAAAAATGTCCTGCTACACTAAATATCTTGTAAGCTATTCATTATTTAGCCAAAACTTAAAAAACATGCTTAGGGGCTGCGAAACCAACAATAATGCACTAACTAAAAGCACAGGTCCCCTGTAGAATCGCCCTCACCCCTCCCCGCAAGTACCTGGGCGCTTTTCTTAGATCAAGGACAGTACATCTTCCTAGAGCTGGACACACACAGACTGCGGGGCACAGACTCAGAACAGACAGGTTTCACTTCAACTGACAACAACCTACAACAGGACCTAGGATCTGTCAGTGTCCAAGAGGACATAGAACCAAGCTTCAAAAACAAAGTAGCCTTTATTTGTGTTACATTCTGTTCTGGTCATGCAAAGTATATCACTATGTCTTTTGATTTTTTTAATGACTCAATGTCCCACAAAACTAAAGTGGAGAGGAAGCCTCATTATTAACCTGATAGGAAGATACAGCTGTTTAACAGATCACCAGAGACATGCAAACACACCACAAATGGACAGAAGATGAAAGCAACTTTGGCAATGAAAGGAGAGGATAAGGAGTATTTGATGCCTTTATATCCCTAACAGATCTGTGCCTGTGAATTTCACTGTCCAACACCACCGGTTCTCAATATTGGTCCTGGGACCCCCGTTTCTGTTGGTTTTTATACCAGCTGGGCCCTGAATCACCACAGCTAATTGGTGACTTTAATTATCTGCTTGCTTGTTTAGATGTTGTCTGCATTCTGTCCTTGGCTTCTAAAATACCCTAGCTAAGGTACATTGCCAGCAACATCAGTACACAGACCTTTACAGAACCACTCCTCAACATACTAATCAAGAGTTTTTTGGAATTTCTGACGGAAAAAGTTATCAATGGAAGATTCGTTTATGATGAAGAGACACGGGTGGGGCTGACAATGGATCAGATGGCCACAACAAACATTCGTTTTCTCCACCTGCTTAAGCCCAAGCTGTCACATTTCAGCTAACAGAGCAGAGCAGGTCTGAATCTAATGAGACTTCTAACTAGTGAGATCTGAAACTCACCCATTAGCTAGCAATAACACATCCTCTTCAGCATCTGAAGAGCTGAAAGCAAATTTAAAAACAGGGCTAAAGCAGAAAATGGAAATTAATCAGCCTGGTATTAAGAACTCGGGAAAACTGTCAGGCTGGACCCAAAAGTAGAGATAACAGTGGTTCCCCAGAACCAGGACTGAGAATCATGGTTCCACACTCTGTTTAAATCACCATTTCTGTACATCAAGCACACCACCCCATAGACACAGGGGAATAAAACGTTACCAAATCTATAAACACAGAAAACAGGATGCTCTTTTGGCATTTCATAAGCTTTGTCTAGAAAAAAAACAGCATCTTAATTAGCTTGCATGTATACATAAATGAGAACCATCACTACTTTGACTTACTAAACGGTGCCTCAGCCACAGAGCAGGACTCGTGCGACTCGAGACGGGGCAGAGAGAGAGTCAGAGGTGGTGCTGCAGCTCCTGTGAATCAAGGTGGGGTGGGGGGGGTGATGAAGAGTTGAAGAGTGAAGTGTGATAAGGTCTCTGACCCCTTCGCAGCTTCTCTGTGCCTCTCCTGGAGTGTAAGCCGACGGCTCTTCACTGCGAGACGGGCGATGGCTCTCTGCTGGGCCATTAACAAACTTCATGTTTTTAACTTTGAGGAAGATTACACCATGGAGTCACTTCATATCGACCAGGTCTTTACAGACAAGGATGCTGTGATAGAATAATGACGTCAAGTTAAGATCTTCAACCTGAGCTTCTATCAGGTGATTAAAGCCAATTTATACAGCTGCTGGAGTTCCTGGCAGTGCTGCGACAGAAGTAGAAGTTGATCTGAAGGATCCACAGACCTAGACACAGGGCCCTTACTCACAGCGTCACTAGCAGATTCTTCCAAGCTCCGAAGGTAGAAGCAACAAGCCTCACTTGGAGTGGCCATTAAAAACAAGCGAGGGGATGAAATGATGCCCCCCTTGTCATTGGTGAACAAAGTAAATGTTCAGAGCTCAGAGTAGGATTCCTTCAGATCTGGAGAGCTGCCCAGTGCTTCTGACCTCATTACAGCATTATAACATTCTGCAGAATCAGTGGAACAGCTTGCACATTGTTCACAGAGATTGCTTTGGCTTCTTATTCACTAGACTCCCTTCCTCTGAAGATGGAGACCGCCTTGAAACTCAGGAAGGCTGCATCTACACTGGAGCAAGTGAAGCCCAGATCTACACAGGTCTATTTCAGCAACATCCCCGACCATCAGACCCTGCGCTCAAGGAATACAGGGCATGTCGGAGACTTTTCTGGGATATTGGCAACAGTTGTGGAAAGCGAGCCGATACAAACATCAATGAACTGATTACAACCCAAATCAATTTCTCAGGCCTGCTCTTCAACACCCAGGTTTGGGACCGGTCAACCAGACGTAGCCAGAGCTCTGGCCCAGACGGTCTCCGGGGTTAATGGTGGTTTATCAATGCCCAACATTTTTATGTTCCACCAGCAAACCACCGGGGAGATGTAGAAGATAAACTTCAGATTTTACAAAAAGCGACGTTAAAAACTCCCCCAGCTTAGACAAGCTGACAGGTGCCACGCAGGAGAGTCACCAAGAACTCAGGCATTGCAGTCCTTGTGTTAAAACAAGTGACAATGCAGAATGCAACTCCTCTGCACAAACCAGTTTAAAAACAGGACATTTCTTGTCACAACACAGGCATTCAAGTCAATGCACTTTGACCTGACGCCACGCCTTTATCTGGTAAAAACCTTATTCCGCCTGGGGACGGACAGTTCAGGCGTCATCAACGCCACCAGCCGACTGGTCTTAGATTGTCACAAGCGTTACGAGAGATTGTTGGACAGACTTGACCGAGGAGTTCGAACATTCAGGGGGAAGGATGGCTTCTCTGGTTTGAAACGACACGTTCTTCTCTCGGGCTGGTTACGAACCCTGAACCGTCAGGGTCGTTAACAGCCGACACGCAGCAGAGGTTTGGTGTTGCAGAGGCTGCACTTTGTGCAGTACGAGAAGGTGAGGGGGAGAGCGGGTGCGAGCAGCTCCAGCGCGAGAGAGACGGGAGCCTGGAGGAGCGATGGGGATGAGGGCTCAGCCGCTGCCCCGCCTGCTCTTACTTGCCCTGGAAGCTGCTGAGCTCCATGTCGTCCTTGCGGCGGCGCTGCTGGGCAAACAGGGAGCTGAAGGGGTACAGCTTGGCCTTGGCGGGGTACCGCTGCCCGCCGATGTCGACCTCGTAGTCGCCGCGGTTGATGAAGTCGGGCGTGACGACGGCGGGGGGCCGCGGCGAGACGAAGCCCAGGCAGACGTGGCGCTCCAGGGTGTAGCTGTAGGCGCTGCTGCTGGTCACGCCCACCAGCTGCCCGCTGCGGTAGATGGGCTCCCCCCACCAGGGCCACAGGTCCAGCTCGGCGTCGTGGTCCTCCAGCACCAGCATGATGAAGCGCCGCGCCACGCCCTCCTGCCGCTGCTTCATCAGGGCCTCGCGGCCCAGGAAATCGGTGCCCTGCGTGGGCACAGAGCGAGAGTGAGCGAGAGTGAGCGAGAGTGAGCGAGAGTGAGCGAGAGTGAGCGAGAGTGAGCGAGAGTGAGCGAGAGTGAGCGAGAGTGAGCG